GTACGATGAGTGTGTATTCAAAGTTTTCAACATATTCATCATTCATATTGTGTACGCAGCGCACTGATCACCATACGGCGAAATTGGTACTATCGACTTGCCCGCTCACTCGTGAAGAACTTTGCCGATCTATGCATCGATCGAGTCAATCACTTGTGCTCCCATCGATTACGAATCATCGATGTTACGTGGAATTTGTCTTTGTATATATATAAGGCAAGTCATATATGATCGTAACGAGCGAGAACGAAAGCCAAATGTTTCTGTATTTAACGTTATGAGGATTGTCGGCTAGATGCCACCACGGTGTGGTTACTTATTCTTTGATAATACCATAACACCTTAGAATTTCGGTCAGTGGTCACCCTACATACGTGATAAAGAAAACCTAAACCTTTCAGTCGGCTACTCGGCAGCTGGCAAACGAATTCCACAGCAACAAATTGTTGTTCAACGAATAATTGTTTACGTTTTAACTCTAAGTTTTATGATAATAATAATACTACTCCGGGTTTTTTTTTCTATCAACGCTGGTGTTGATCTCCGTTCTACACGACCTACTTTTGCAGTCGACATCGAAGCAGGCAGTTATATTTTTTAATTCGGTTGGCGATCACAGTGTTGGTGTTTTTACATTAATTGTCATCAAACAGTTTTTGGAAGACATAACGAGGCCATGACGTCCTCGAAGTACTGTTTGAAAACTCGCAACAGAATGAAACTTCTAAACACTAAGGCAAGTGTTTACTCGTTCTAGAAATAATTATTGTTGTAACAATATCAAGATATTTTAAAATATAATAAACATTTTTTAAAACGTTTCAGAAGTTGGATAACGAACAGGACCATGATCTGTTTTTGTCAAAGTTTACTTCGGCACTTTGTGGCGACAGTTTCAACAGACTCCCATTGAACTCCACTTTAGGACGACTGCCATTATCTGGTACCTATGAGATAAATTATTTCATAATTATTATGATATACCTTTATTTATATCATAATATTTTACTGTATAAAGGACGTATGCCTCCATCTAGTAGGTCCCTACGTATATTTTGTGTCAGGTTTCCATGTTGACATACTATACTCTATTACTCTGTTTAAACAAAGTATTGTCAATTGGCCGGAGGCCGAACAAATTACTCCAGTTAGGCATTATTCATGATGCTTCAAAAGTGATTGTTCTCTTTTGAAACAGAGTAAAGTGTATTTATGTATACCTACAAAATAAAATGCATTTGGATTTTTTGTTTTAAATAATTACAAGATGTTTTAAATTTACAGTAGATTTTTTAGCATAGGGTTTTAAATAAATTTGGATTGGTTCTCAAAAATATTTTATTGAATGGAAGTTTCACAGTATTATAGTTACCTATAAGTAATTTATTTAATTTCATAAGAAATAAATTTCATTAAGTACTGCCCAATAACTAGCCCACTACCTATGTAAATTAATAATATTCAGTATTTTTATGTTTTACTTTTTTCAATTACAGAATTAGCTCAGGAACTCAAAACAGGGAAATTGATATCAAAATTTGAAGATTTTGATTATTATACTGATGGTGAAGATGAATCACCATATGTTTACACATGTTCATTTGTATTGGCTATAATGTATTTTGAACGACTTAAAGCATCAAATCCTAACTATTTGAAATCTATTAATTCGTCTGAATTATTTCTTATATCTTTGGTAAATCAAACAATAATCATTAAATAGTTATTGTGTATCATTAAAATTATTAATTTAACTTTAAAAACTGTTATTTATAGTTAGTCGCAAGTAAATATCTTCACGACGATGGTGAATTAGATTCTGCAATAAATAGTGAATGGGCTGTAGCATATGGTATCAGTCTCAAGACTATTAATCAAATGGAAAAAGATTATTTATCAGCTATGGTAAGAATTAGAAAAAAACCCTGATTGATTTAATCTCACCGATAAAATCTATTTTTAATTGGTATGCAATCTTTGATTGTTATTAAACATTTTAATTGATTTTTAGCTATTTTTAATAAATATTTTAATATTAAGTGAACATTTTAGAAATAAATTAAATTTTTTAATTTTTTTATAATGTATACAAAACTAGCTCCGTTTGTTGAATATTATAAAAAATATAAAATTGTATTTACTCAAATCAAATTTAGTTCATAATCTGAATATTGCTAATGACAAATTAATCTATTTTATATTTATATAGAATTGGGAATTTTTTATAAGTGATGAAGAATTTACAAGTAGACATAAAGAAATAGTTAATGAACTATACGGTGATATAAAGAAATCCAACTCTGTACTGTTAAAGATGTTCCTATTAATCTCATCAGTAGTACAAAAAATAAGAAAGGTAAGCTAAGATTTTTTTTAAATTAAATTATTTGAATTTCATCATTTGTTGTTTTGCTTATTAGTTGTACCGAAAGAAAATTGTCCGTCAGAAAATGAAACATATGATCGCCATGTCAACTGTTATTACTGTAGTTACTGCAACTACTATGCAACTTAACCCTGGAAATGAAAAGTTGGTCCAAGAATTGTATGAACAAATTGAGTCTGATCCAAATTACCCAACAATTCCCTCCACCCACACAAATGACATAGTAAAACCCAAAAACGTAAAAGACATTTCTAAAGGATGGCATTCGTCTAAATTACTACAGTTATTGGACCATTTGTTACTAATGAACACATGTGTATCTGATGATGATCATCATCTATCATTTCAAACTACTACCCTTAGTAAACCAAACAATAAGCAATTTCGGAATATTACACATTTCAAAAATACTATATTTTTTAACTATTTAACAACTATAAACTACACATATTGAAGTTAAGTCTTACTGACCCTTGTGGGTTCTCAGTTTACTCAAATATATTTTAATTAATATATTCTGTTGTATCAGTTTTTTACAAATGTTTTGTACCAAATTCAATAACATACATTTACATTAGTATATATCACAAATAATTTGTGGTTTTAATAACTGATTTAAAAGTATTACAACCATCATATTTTATTTAAAATTAATGGGGATTTATTTTTAATCTACGAATGTATGTAGGATAAATATCACATAACTTTATAAATTTTTTTTTACTGCATGATTATCATATGATTTTAAATTAACTTTGTTTATTAGTTTCATATTCTGATTATTAACAACTAATTACAAGGAATAAGGTTATGTGCAATTGAATTAATTAAAGTATAAAAGGCTGAATAAAATATTATATTTAATACATTTATAATTTAGGTCATGAATGAATTAACATTTATGACCATTTTTATATGTTGGAATATTTAAATTGAAAGAAATTGTGATTGTTATTACTTATAAGACAAAATCAATTGATGGTTTATAAAAAGTAAAAATGGTTCAATTGTGTAATTGTGTAACAAATATAAAATTATCCACTTTAAGATTCAAACTAGTGAAAATTTATATTTTTATTGAAAAAATCCAATTTGGCTTTTATCTAACCTATAACAAGGTTTCCAAAAGTAGGTTGCATTAGACAACTTGCTTAAAATTAAAGTATATTTTTGAGATTTATTTTGTTAAATTTACTTAATCTCAAGCTGACATTGTTGATATCAATACAGTGATCAAGAAAAATAAAAAAACAAGTAGGTTCAACCATAAAATTTTTTTTTTTTAAAATTAATTTTACTTTTTACAAAATTACTATTAAATAGTTTAATAATGTTAAGTGGTTTCACTGCAAATGTATATATTTTTATGCAAATATTTTAAGAATAATAATATAAATTGTTTATTTGAGTGAAAAAAAAATAAATTCATTGGTTTGATGTTATGCTTCCCAAGAATTTTCAAAATGGGTAGAACCGTTGAAAGTTTAGGAACCTCTGATCTTATGAATATATAACTGCTGTCACCAGAATATAACTACAGTCCATTCTAGTAGTATTTCAGGAAGTTGTTATTAAGTAGTGTAAGCGTCTGATTATTTTTTTTAATATGAATGAAGATATGAGCCCATTCTGGGTTTCACCTACCTATTCTGTGATTTAAGATCACTATCCTAACTTATTTGATTGGTCTCAAATATTGAGTGATAGCCACTTCTAATGTATGAATACTGAATAGTGTGAATAGTATAAGTTGAATTTGAGCTCAATATGACGTTGCTCTTAGTTATTACCAGGGATGTAAACCTAAGACTTGTTTTCAACAGCACATTAAAAAAAAATGCATTGGAAATACTTATGCCAGGTTGTATGAATAATCACTTAAGAGGACGCCTCACCCCCATGTGTTGTCTCCGTCTTACAAACGAGTAACATACATAATTCACTCTCAGCAGTTCACGTTTATGTCGTTATCTTAAAAAATAAGAGTGGATCGACCTTTTATGAAACTTGACGGGAAGAACTTAATCCATATATGTTTAAGTTTTTTTAAGGTAATTCAGTTTTTGAGTGAGTTATGCTTGTATAATAAATGTAAATTAAAAATGCTCATCACTCACTTAAAAATTTAATTATTGTAAAAAAAATTCAACAGAACACAAATATAGTTCTTATTATTAAGTTTCATAATAGGTTGATTCACTCTAATTTTTAAGCTAACGGCATAAAACTTGAACTGCTGAACGTAAATTTAGTATGTTACGCATTTGTAAGCGGAGACTACACATGTAGGTGTGCCGTCCTTTTAACATTTTACTAATGAATAATGAACTAATGGCCCCTTAAACGTGATTTAGTGGCCCATAATAGGTCAATTAAATTTTATTGAACTATTAAATGAATACATTTTACATGCAACCCGGCATTAACGTTTTTGAGTTGTAAGGAATTATTATGAACTCAAGATTGAGTGAGTTCATTTTGAGTTTTTATAGAAGCAGTCTTTATCTGAATTGAGATAATATGTGTGTTTCCACCATAGACATTTAAATATATATTTATTTATATGTCTATGATTTCCACTAGATTAATTTCTTTTAACTTTTGATTTTTTTATATCATTTGGCCCACTTTAGTTAAGATAATACCATTACACCAAATACTATTTTATGTTTATAATTGATAATTTAATTTAAAAAGAAATAGGTGTTAACAATTTAATATTTACATTGATGTTTGTTTTAGTTTCTAAAATATTAATATAAAAAAAAATGTGATTTACATTAAATATTTCTTAGTTAGGTACATCAGCTTTATTATTATATTATCATACATTTTAACTTTTTTAACTTTCTGTTTTGGCAGCTACTGTGCACAACTTGGCTAATAATCCTGACAATTGAAGTAATGAGTTCATTCCTTCCACAATTCTTATGTGAACCATTCCAATCTCCTGAAATATAAATACATTTTATAACTTATAGGAATTTTAAGCATGAGTTAAAGTTAAAAGTTCAAAAATTTAAAATTATTAATGTTTAGATTTTAAATATTCAAACAAAACATACTTTACCGGCTAACAAACACATAGCCAAAATACAAATATGATTGCAATTACTGAATTACTTTAAATCCTTTAAGGTCCCCACACACTGCAGCGGTAGTGGTGGCGGTGGCAGCACAGCCAAGACAAAAGAATTTTACTGCTACCGCTGCAGTGTGTGGGGACCCTTTATCATAGCTATAAGAAAAATAAAACATTTTTAATATTTCAACTGGGGAATAACATGGTCTCTGGTATTATTGCAATTGCATATAAACATTGTCTTAAAGTATCAATTACTTAATTGCATTATAATATGAAGTTAACAGTGGTCAAAGTGGGGAGACGAAGATGGGGTCCGTACAAGATACAATGAGATACTGTTAAAACGATATATGGGAACTATATAAATTATGAAAGGCATCCCTCCACTTATTTTGGGACACGTGGACCACTGGATGTTAATGATTACCAAATAGTTTCATTAAATACAAGTTGAAGCAAACCCAATGTACAATAATCCTTTTACCTGTATAAATTTTAATTTCAGAGATTCTTTGATTTCCAAATGTTTTGCAACCCTAAATATATTTGTAATGATGTCTTCAGGTGCATAACCAAGTTTCCATAAATGGGCCATTATCTATACAGAGTAAAAATCAAAATGATTAAGTCCTTAGTCTTTGAAACTTAACGATTAAATTATCTTCTTACTTTGTATGCCTTAGAGATATTTTGGTCGGCACATTCCAATAACATTTCTTTAACCAGTAAAGGATGTGGCTCGTCACAAACTTTGAATACATTTGTGCTGTCGACGTGTCTAAAACCATTCCATGTAGAATGTAAGTTGTTCAACGCTTGTCGCATGTCGCCTTGAGCAGTAAATACAACGGCTTCCAAACCATCGGCACTGAACGATACCTATATACAGATATCAATATAATTACAGCAACTTGATTGAAAACAATAATATTAACTACAAAATGTATATTCTATATTTACATTACCTCTTCGGATTTGCAGACTTTTAGCATCTGCGTCATGATCTCTTGATCAGAGAGTTTTCCATATCGCAACATGGCACAACGTGACTGAATGGCTTCAATAATTTTGTCACTATTGTTACAGGCAAGTGCAAATCTTGTTGTATTACTCCATAATTCCATAGTACGTCTAAGTGCTTGCTGGGCTCCATCAGTCATACTAAAAACAAATAATATTTTAAACATTAATAGAGGTACACAATGGATAAATAGTATTTAACAAAGTATTTAGTTACCTATCGGCTTCGTCCAAAATAATTATTTTGTGTCTTCCAGGAGGCAATGTGACTTTTTGCTGAGCAAACATTTTGATTTTGTTTCGTACAGTATCAATACCACGATCACTAGATGCATTTAGTTCTAATACGGCTTCTTTGAATGCACTTCCTAGAAGTATTCTGGCCAGAGCCAATATTGTTGTGGTTTTACCAACACCAGGAGGACCCTATTTATCATATTTAGAAATGAATACAATTTGTTACTACAGTTGGAAAAATGGAATATATTAAAATAAATAATGAGAAAAAACATGTAATTTGTTCTTTCTGCAAACTCACAGCAATAATTATGTTTGGTACATTTCCGCACAAAGAAAACTTTTCCAGTCGCAAAACAGTTTCTTCATTACCAATAATGTCTGTGAATGATTTTGGACGATATTTTTCAATCCTGAACATTAAACATACAAATAATGAGAATACCTTCTATGGAATACGGATAGGTACTAGGTTTATCAGTAGGCATATAGTACTTACCATGGCGTGTTTAAATCACTTTTAACAGTTTTCGTTTGAGAGGGTACAGTAGTTAAACAATCCTTTGTGCTGGTCGAAGATCCTTCCATGGGATCTATTACGGCTGAGGTTGATGCACCCTCTTCTGGGTTGTCGACTTCCATTTCAAAATTACAAGCACAAGCTACCTTAGCGGATATACACCATTAATATTACACAAAGTGCACTTTACAAAAATACAAGCAAAATATTATGATGTTTATCACAGTCCAAAAGAATCAATTCGTCCTATGAATCACACTTGAAGAATTATAGTCGCATGGGAATTTGGGGCAGCTTACGATAAAGTGATGTTTGAAGTTTTTGACTTTTGATAATAATATTCTGTTTGAAAAGGCGGGAAAGATAACAATATCCATTATACAAAAAATTGTTGTTTGAAAAAAAAATTAGGTTATGTAATTTTTTGGACGACCGCCTCCAACTTTAACCATCCTCCCTACTCCCTTTAATTCTACCGACCCCATTGGCTCTTTCTAAAACCACAAAATAAGCTTCACCATAGACATAATATGAACAACTTTGTTGTTTTATACCTCATACTTCATAGACCTATAATGGACCTTTCTTTTTTGGCCTATGATACATATTATATTTAAATTAGTTCATGATAACAAGTCTTAGTTTTCATTACCTTATACCATTATTCTGTGATAATATTCACTAATTGATTACAACCACGGTTATCTAATAATCGTGATTACAACTTACAAGCATGTTGTAGGATAAGTACTATTTTTTTTGTAGAATGTAGATCAGAGCACTTCACGAAGTACATTATTTAGTACCTATTTACAATATTTACATCGTCGATAATTTCCAAATTCAAGTTACAACAATAATATGTGTTATACAATTTTGCGGTTGATGATGAATTAATGCATGTGAGTATGTGACAATATAAATGCTTGATAGTTTTACTCTTATTATTACTTTTTCATGAATTAATGTTTTTGTCTTTTATAAACTATCATAAAGTCAAGTACAATTATTCGGTTCGGGTACTTGTGACAAAAGTAACAAGAGGTTATCAAACTTATAGAAGTCTACCTATGGTACAGCGTAATAATATTATTACTCTTGATCCAATCTCAAATGTCTTTTGATGAGAAATAAGTATTCCACCGTTAACGAAATTGTGAAAATGGATTTATCAGCAGAAGAACTGCTTAGCAGAAAAGAGACGTTGAAACAATTTGAAAACTATATTGATAACACAAGAAACACTCTAAAAAGTTTTGTTGAACAAATTGGATGGACATTGGATAAAACACCAAACAATGTAAATTAAAATTAATTCAATACTTCCCTAATAAGTAATCTGTAACTTTGAAGAGTAGTTATTGCTTTTTATTATATTGTATGGATACACGACTGGAGCCAGTAGGCTTAGGAAGTTAGTTACTACTTGTAGCCAAATTTTCCCACCATATAGGTTAGGACAAGTCCCCAATCGAGAGGTCTGGAGGACCTTGAGTTTTTTGACCGGAGCCAGTATATATGATATATAATAATAATAATAATAATAATAATAATATAATGATATGTTTATTCTGTAATTGTTCTCAATTATTTTTCCTATAACTTCTAAAAAAATGTTGGCAGTTTTTTCTCAACAACTTCAAAACAAAGTCCTAGCGACAAATTCTGATTGCCCCATCGTTCTTAACTCAATAACATAAGTTTCAATAGAAAAAATTCAAAATGGTGAGCGAAACTAAACTTTGTTTGTTCCAAAGATGATATCTGAACAGCGTTTCTCAAACTTCATCTAACCTAGACTCTCAGAGATTAGAAAAATGATTTTATAGGAATTAGAACTTTATACCCCCACGTGTGTCTCCATCCTACAATTAATGTACTGTAAATGTTCAAAATTTACTTTAATATTAAAAATAGTTTATTCTGAACAAAATTTGGTAATTTATATCTTATTTGATAAAGATAACAGATGCAGTTATAATGTCCTCTTAGTATGATAATTGTATGACAAATATTTCATTAATATTGTATTTTATTTTTGGAAAAAATTACCTTAAATTCCTTGTCTCAGATAGTTAAACAAGTTTGCACTTCCATTCAGAAAAAATATTAAATAATTTGTAGTCCACTGGTCAAATATATTACTACAGTTTACTAGATACATCTAATTTAATAATATGCATTTAAGAGGATGTCGCACCCCCATGTGTTGTCTCTATCTTACACACGCATGACATACCAAATTTCCGTTCACCAGTTTCAATGGTGCACTGTTAGCATAGGCATGTCCACGGGTCTTGCCTGTCATGCACAGGCATAACCTGCAAAATTTGATCTAAATTAAAAAAATTAATTTAAAATCTATAAATTGGGGGTCATATCATCCCAATACCCTAACAGAATTTTTTATTGGCGGGGGAGGGGATGTAGTTTTTCTCTCCCCTGGATAATCCACAGTTGTGCATGAACTGCGAATGAGGTCTGGACACGCCTATAACTGTTAGATTCGATCAGGGAATTAATATTAAAGTGAATTGACTTATTATATAATATAAAGGTAAGATTTAATAGAAAACCTAGATAATTCTAGGGGCCACTTAGGCTTTTATTGATATTATTTTTGTAAAGTAAGTTATAACCTTTTTGAAACTGTACATTTTAAAATGATCATAACTTACTTAAAAATAACAATATCAATAAGAGCCAAAGTGGGGCCCTAGGTCCTTCCTTTAAATTTTATTATAGGTAAATTTATTCTAATGTCAAAACTAATACCATTTTTATTGAAACTGCCAAATAGTAATTTTGTATGTTGTACGTGTATAAGATGGAGACAATATACGAAGGTGCGAAGTCATCTTAAATCAAAATTATTGAAACAGTTTTGCAAATTTTGTGCAATTATTTTTGTGTGCTTATTTACTTTCAGGATAAATTAGTAAAGTGTCCATACAATAATGAACACAGAATGCCGCCATCCACACTCGAGGTTCATTGTCAAAAGTGTATATTAAAAAAAAATGGATACGATTCATCTCATTCAATTTATCCTTCTTATAATTTTTCAACATCTTTGGCCCAAACTGTAAAAATTGGTATATTTAACAATACTTTATTCTTGTCTTAATACTTAATCAATGTTTGCATCAACTATCATCATTATGAATTTATGCTTTAAAAACTCATTTTGTAATTTTTACTATAAATTCTCAAATTTGTATTTCTCACATATTATGTAAGATGTTATAAATTAATTCGCTCTTTGATAGGTTGCATTGACATTGATTTATTGATGAATTCAATGATATAATTTATTTAATTCGAAGTATACATTGATTATTTTATAATTTATTTTCATTTGCTTAATAAAAATATATTTTATCTTTATTTGTTTGTTACAGATAAAACTACTCAAATGCACATTTTGAAAACTGCCTACGAGGAATCAAAGGCAACCTTAAGTTAGTAAAAATAGAAAATGAATTAATATTATTTATTGAATAGATCAATAACATCATTTTTATAACAGCTAATGAATCTTTTTCAGATATGATTAAAGAATGTTTGGTACAAGATATTTTACAATATTTCATTAGACATTACAAAAAAAAAACTTATATCCTTTTTAACTATTCTATTTGATAATAATAATAATAATAATAATAATTAATAATTAATTATTATAATGTTTCGTTATTACTTTAATTATAATAACGATGGATTTTTCCTATTGATTTCAACAGTTTTTCAAATATTTGTTCTTTTTTTTTTAAATTTGACAAAAACATTTGGATCTATATCTTGCATGAAGAACATTATTATACATTCTTTTATGTTTGAGGTAAATAGACCTCTTAAGAAAAATCTTTATTTATTAGCTATTTTTCAATCATGTTTATTTTTGCAGTAAATATTATGTATATGTCACTACAATGTTATAAAAAAATTAAAAAATGTTACACTTTTATTTTAGATATAAATCTTGAACCTAGAGAAGTTTCCCAAAGTATAGAACGCTATATTTGTGATTTTACTCCTGATGAGAGAAGAGTATTGTATGATAGTGCTGTAAAATACACCAAACTCCCTAATCACAAAGATGTGATAAATGATTTGACAGGGTAATATTTAAATAAAATACATTAATAATTTTTAAATAAATTATTCATGTTCATTTTATTTATATTAATTTTAGTGTGGATATTTTCAATAAAACTGACGATAAACCTAAAACTGAACTGGAGCTTTTGGAAGAGCAAAGAGACTTAAAACGTAGGAGTGCTGCTTATCGAGGAAAAAAAGTTCACACAGATAGAAAATCTTATGTAGAAGTAAGTTAAATACTTCCAAGTTATTAGTATTTCAATTTTCAATTAATCCTTGATTAAACCTTTTGGTTATTTAGATTTTAAGAGAAGTAGTTGAAGGATTAACAAATAATTTGTCCCATTCAGAAGATAAATCAGTGTGTGTCCAAACATCAAATACCGTAACAGAAACTACACCAAATGCCCGTTTTGTGTACAAGTATGCAGGTAATCCAAGTTATAGTGGTAATCCATATACTCGCTGGCTTGATATTGAAACAGAGGAATCTAAATTATTTAAGTATTATCAAAAAAAGAGTCAAAGTTCATATCAAGAAGCTTCTACTTCTAGAATATATTGTGAAGATCAAACTGGTTTTAAAAAATCAGAAAAAAGTAGATCTAAATCAAGAGAAAAAAAAATGTCCACTAGTGAATTAAAATTAAAAAGATCTAGGAGATCTAGGTCTCGCTCAGTATATAAATCAAGAAGAAGTAGATCTAAATCAAGAGAAAGAAAAACGTCTACTAATGAATTAAAATTAAAAAGATCTAGGAGATCTAGGTCTCGCTCAATATGTAATGAAATCAAATATAAGAAACCTAAAATCCGTTCTAAATCCAAAGAATATGTATTAATGGAAAGTAAACATAAAAGATCTAGAAAACATAAATCTAGATCAAAATCTAAAGAAAATGAGCCTAGAAGGCATAGAAGTCGATCGATATCTAAAGAAAGTGAGTCTAGAAGGCATAGAAATCGATCGATATCTATAGAAAATACTGATAAAAGATCTAAGAAGCGTAGAACTAGGTCTAAGTCAAAAGAACCTGAAAAGATAAGTTCTAAGAATCTTACAAAAAAAGACTCTACACTACAATTTAAACCGAGAAATACTCACAAAAAAAAAAAAAAATATAAAAGTAAAAAAAATCGTTCAAAAAGTCCTAGAAGAATTCATAAAAATAAAACTAATAAGACTATTGAAGTTTGTGAAGAAATTGATGATAAAATATCAAATGACCATGACGTCATCCATCACATCTACCAGTCTTAGAATTTCTCGGTTAATAATTGATTGGGTTTATATCTTAAAAAAATTCATGGTAATGCACTAACATTAAGCATTTTCATTGATTAAAAGTTAATCAATTATTTAATAAGACGATTTAATGATTTTGGGATTTTATTAAAACACAATTATAAAATTGTACCCTTAATTTATTTAAGAAAAATAAGATTTATAAATATAAAAATATTACATTGCTTAAATATAATAAAGGCATTGTCATTTTAAAAATTGTTTGTTGTTTCATGTTGTGATTTTGAATCATTAAAAAAAATTTTTAAATTTTTTTTCTTACTGCATATAATTAATAATTTAAATATTGAACTGTATTAGTTTATATTATTTTCTGTTTGAAACAAGAGCCATAATGATATAATGCAATTATAATATGTAGGTTATTTTTTAAATACACAATAATCAGTGTACAGTCGTAACAATATTTTTGTTTTAGGAGCATTTAGCTATTAATCTATTATATTTGGTAATAATATGTAATGCAATTGCACAATATCAATTGAATTAAAATTTTGTATTGCATGTCATAAAGTCATCTATGGTAGAGGTACATTAAACATAACAACTCAACCATTATGGGGCTACTAAATACTAATCTACAGACTAAGGACTTTATTAATATATCTAATCAATAGTGACTACTGTATTTATAAATATTCTATTGACATGGGTTTGCTGTATCCAATTCGTTAAATTATTACAGAAACATAAGTATATGGTATTCGCTATATTTTTTTATACTATGATTAATATTAAGTAAATTTGTGATGTGTTGATAATACAAATTAAAAACTCAATTATATAGATAATAATTCATTTATTTGATATTTTGATTCATTGAAAGCTCAATTTTATTTGTATATTTAAACTATTAACTTTATTAAGAGATATTTTTATTTTGATGAAAATCAACATCATTGTTAGTTTGAAAGTTTTTCCAAAAAGTATAAATTCATGTTAATTTCTTAGGTAAAAGCAATCAATTATAATTCATAATAGTTGTTTTTAAACGACAATAAATAAAATAATATTTATTTTACACCGAACTTTCCAGTGATGTTTCATCAAAATTATTACTAAATGTATAACTTATTTTACTCTAAAATTATGATTACACGGCGTTCTAGGTATGCAATTTAGCTATACATCTGTCGTGGGTTCATTTTTCCAGTATCTCATTACTAATTAGAAAAATTAAGAATTGTGTTAGGACTTAGATGTAAGGTGAAAATTAGAAGTAGCTTAATATTTTTATTTTACATAAAAAATAAAATATTTTAATTTCAATGGAATAATGTCATGTCTGAATTTAATTTTTGTAAGTAACTGAGAATTAAGTAAATACAAATAATAATACTTTAATATCTGATATGATATGCCTATGACTCGACAAACCTAGAACATTTTCATTTTCAGATAGGCTACTCCGCCCCCCACGCGTATGTAATATATACTATTTACTTATTATTCTTGAATAAAACCACGCGATAATTAATTAAAACGGGTTTCACGTTGTGCGGGGTATAGTGCAATATACACATTCATACCCATTATGTATATACAATATACATACATACACTCCCTATACTCACACTATACATTCAACGCATTAAGAATTCTACATCTCCCCCCCCCCTCACTAAGTACGATAGGGCGCTTCACGAAACGACACAAATGCTCTACTAATAGTACTATGCCGGTACTTACGTTGCGCCGTTCAATATAAAATTATTAACGCATAATCGTGATACCTTAACAGGACGCCACACCCACATGTGTTGTCTCCGTCTTACAAATTGTATACGTTCTGGATAATCAATTTAACTCTGTTATGATTAATATTGGAGCCAATTGTCACATCATCAAATTTAGAAATAAATCCTCGTTGAGCTTTTTCTTTTTATATATTAATTTTAAAACAAATTATAAGTTTCTTAAAACTGCATATTGCTTATGCGTTTTGAAATTCCTTACCTAACCTATACACCTATAAAGAATAAGGGATTATACCAGATCATTCTATACAAGGATCCTAGAAAATCGACTCATTAACAGTGTTTTCCACAAGAAGAGCCGATGCAAAACGTCCACGCCAGTCTACACCACGATACACTTGTTCGCTGTTCAAAGGAGTATTTATGGCCGTATTTATAGATATAATTGTATATTTGTATATTGAATTATTCCAGCATTTGGTACGACTGTTTAATCAATTATTTCGTATTTTATTAACTTAATTCATATTGTTAATTTTTTCATTCACTTTATCTTCATATCGAATTCACCTTTACAATATAAAATTGGGGGGGACGAGGTGACCGAGTGGTCTGACTCTTCCGCTGCGACGCAGCCGGTCGCGGTTCGATCCTCGGCCACCGGGCGGCATTTTTCTCCGGACAAGTCGCGGTGACCGGAGAGCAAGTGCTGCCATCCCCCACCCCCGGGGCATGGCAGAA